TGCAGCTGGAATGCTCCTTGGAGGCGACAATGGCCAGACTTCATCTCACCTCCTTTGGTCATGTTGTCAGGAGGGACCATTCCGTGGAGAAGGATGTCATGCTTAGTAAGGTAGACGGTCAACGAAAGAGGGGAAGGCCCTCAACAAGATGGATTGACACAGTGGCTGCAGCGATGGACTCTAGTATAGCAAGGATCGTGGAGCTGGCACAGGACTGGGCAGTGTTTCGTTCTGCTGTGCAGAGTTGCTATAAGTCGGAAACGACTCAACAGCACCTAACAACAACAACAAAGTGTGAAATGATATGCAGTCTACTTGGCTTTCATTTCCAATGAGAAACCAATGTATACCAATTCCTAAATAACAATGTTTGCCTAAGGCATCTGACTGCTAACCAGAGGGCTGGTGGTTCAAACCCACTAGCCGCTCTTCAGAAGGAAGATTGGGGAATCTACTTCTATAGAGATACTGCCTCAGAAACCCACAGAGGGGTCGCTATGAGTCCAATCAACTTGAAGGCAGTGAGGTTTTTTTTGTTTGTTTTTTGTTTTATCAAATTGTATCCTTTAATTTTGGAATACACATAGATGAGCCTTGGATCTCATATAAAAATTTCACTCTGGAATGTATTTCCCTGCTAATTGGCTTACCTTGTAGACATCATGACTGCCAATGATTGCATCAAAGAGTGTGTACAGGTCGTTCAGAAGATCCACCACTTCAATGGGCTCACTCATGGCTGAGATGGTGGTGAAGCCTACAATGTCACTGAAGTACAAGGTAACCAAGTCAAAGCCCTCGGGTTCTACCGTGCAACCCCTTTTCAGTGATTCAGCAACTGATCTGAAAAGTAGACACAGCTATTTCTCAGAGGACACCTGCCTCCCTTCATGCCACAAATGCCTGCTAGAAGACAATTTCCCCCAAAATCACTGCCAAGTAAGTGATAAGGAATAAAATGTCACCTGGAGCAAAGAATTATTCTTTTCCATTTATTCAACAAATATGTATTGAGTGCCTATAATGTGTTAGGCACTGTGCCAGGTGCTGGAACACAGCACTTAACAGACACAGTCCATGTCTTCATAGAGTTTTTGCAGCTCTCTAAAGTTTTACCTCGGTCCCCTGGGGAATGTTCCCAGGTGGCTGCCTTTTCATGAGACTAGTTTTCTCCAATTATCACCTAGAAGATCACGTTATAACATGATAAGGTGCCCTGGAAAATTTGAAAATTGTAGCAACAGGCAAGGTTTTCAGCTAAGGGAGTAAAAAAAAAAAAAAAAAACATGGAAAAACAATCCTGCTACTTTCCTCTAGGAGCTCAAAGAACTGCTTTCTAAATTGGTCAGCCTCCCATCCAAGTTATGAAGTGGCATATAGAAAAAACAAGGCACCAAAAACTTAAGTGACCAGCATGATCCACAGGTAGTGGAAAATTAGGATGTGTGCTCTGCTCCCTTGGTTTCCAATTCTTCTTTGATTTGAAGGTGTGACTCAAACCTACTGTGGGTAGAGAGGGTACTGGACAAGGGGAGGGAGTAGTTAGCTGATGGGTAATTTCTTTCTTTCTTTCTTCCTTTTTTTTAAATAGAACACACTGTTATAAGGATTCACACTCCTCAGGTGTTCACACATACGGTGGTAGCATCTGTGTTAGAAGCTTTTCCGTTTTCTGTTTTTCAATTTCCAGCTCCTCGGTCCGCTCCCAGATCAAATCTTCCAAGTTGCTAGAATATTGCTCCAACATCCGAAGCATAGAATCAATGATATTGGTCTTCTTCCCTTTATTGAAGGTTTTAAACTAGAAGTCAAACAGAAAAAATTTAAAGAGATTGCTTACTCCCTAAACTCAAGAGATGACGGGATGAGCAGGCTCCCTTATGACAAATCCTTTCATCTAAAATGACAGGGAAAGAGAAGTATTAATACTAAATTGTCACTAAAAGTGAATAATGCTCCAATTAACAAGTGTCTGAGTCCCCATTTTCAATTTTCTTGGGTATATACCTGTGTTAGGAGCTCTGGTAGCATAGTGCCTAAGGCACTTGACTGCTAACCAGAAGGCTGGCGGTTCAAACCCACCAGCCTCTCCTCGGAAGGAAGGTTGGGCATTCCTACTTCTGTAGTGATACTGCCTTGGAAACCCAAGGAGGGGTCGCTATGAGTCGGGGCCGACTTGATGGCAAAT